TAACACCTTATAGATACCTGGGGTATCTATATTAAAGTTACTGAACAACAGCTTAGAGATACCTAACTTGGTATTTCAGCTTTGCTTCAGGCTTTCCAAAGTAAACATGAAAGTAAAGGTGGAGGCATTCCAGAAGACGGTGCATGCAACTACACAAATATCATTAGATATGTGCTCCAGCAATGCTCATAAGACAATAATTTTCAAAACAGGAGCTCTGTTGACTGCCCTTGACATTGAAAATATCCTAAATTCCAAGCACAGCCTTCTTCCTCCTTTAAAAGTTTGTAGCTGTATGTGACATTTTCATCTTAACGCAGTGGATTATTTGGATGAAACTATGCCTGGAATATTATGACATGAGTAAAATTTTTTAATGTATTCAATGCTATTCAATAGCGAATCATTTCCTGGGCTTGCATTCTGGAAAAGTGTCAGCATAATACAAGATGGGGGAATGCACAAAATGGAGTAGCTGGTATTTTAAAACACCTAGGTCAGACTGTCAAAGCCTGGAAAACAAGCCATGTAACTAAATCAGGGAAATTATATTCTTAGCTTTTTAGATTTTTAACTTATGGTTAAGTGCACATATCATATGCCACGCTCAGAATTTTTCTAAAGTCCCATCTGTTTGATCCCTTTCTCCTGCTTTTACTGACAGCAAGGGCTATGCCTGGATTACAGTTACTATTATGCAGAAGATTCACAATAAAACCTGACAGTATATAAACATTTATCCAAACTGGATTTTCATTAAATGGGGATTCAATCCTTCTGCTCCCATGACAGATTTTAAACAAAGCTGAGAAAATGCTGGTATAATTTTTTAATCAACAAAATGTAAAAATGGAAAATTTTTGCATAAATATGAGCAAGATCATCAAGCTCAGAATTCACCAGAACAGCATGTATGAACCAAAAACAGACTGTCCAAATCTGAAAACTCTGGGATTGTAACCACAGTAGCACACTTCAGATGCTGATGCATAACCTGCTGTAATTTGGTCAACTGGCAAAGAAGTTTTGTTTACTGTACATTTGTGAGTCCATTCTTTCATTCCCCATTGTTAGAAACTTATTCAGGCTTTCTGTTGCTTGAAGGACAGGAAGACAGGATGAAAGGAATATCTCATCCAACATACTCAAATCTATAAAGAGTACATCAGAGTTCATCACCAAAGCTGAGACTTCCTGAGCATACACAACAGTCTTAATGGCTTCTTTCAAAGGAGAAATTTAAAAGAAATTTAAAATCCTCCCCTGAAAAGTTTTAGCCACTTACTCAACACCAGCGTTTTCCAGTTCCAAATGGGTTATCTAAAGAAAATGCGGGGACTAAAAAAGAAAAAAATAATGTAGAAAGTCACAAAAAAAGCCCAAAAACCACAACTCCACAAGCCAAACTCATAAAAGCAAAAAAAAAACCAAACCAAACCAAAAATTACTTGCGATGGGGTTTTTTAAATAAAATTGTACAAAGAAAACCTGAACAAAAAAGACCTGAGGTCTTTTTAAAGCCTGGATTACGTAATACCCCATTAAAGACTGATGTGTCAGAGTTGACTGTGTGCTTGATTTGTTTTGTGTAAATTAAAAATTAAGGCACCCTCACCATTCAGCTTCAATTCTCAAGGTGGCAACATTGAAAAAATTTAAGCATATGGAGAAGCTAAATATGAAGTTTCCCTACCGATGACCTACCCTATCCTTAAAATGAGCTCATGTTAAACCATTCACAAAAATAAACACTGAAGTCACAGCTTTAAAATAGCACAAAACATCCAGTGGATCTTGTTTGTTACCTAACCACGTGGGAGAACTCTTGCCAGTTTACATCCCAGGCAATTTTTCACCAAGAGACAGTGAGTAAAATGTAGAAGTTTGACTAAAAAATTGAATTTTAGAATTTGAATTAAGTTTAGAACAAAAAGAATTAAATTAAAAAAAAAAATTAAAATCCTCTGACTTCAAGATACTCCTCTGTAGGTGAACAGGATTGGAAGATCCACAATCAGGGCTCCTTCTGACCTCCTCATTTCCTGTGTTCCCAGTGGTCTCCTGCAAGACAGCCTCCCCTCTGCCCTTGGCCAAGGAGTGTGCCTTAGTCCCTCTCCCCACAGTTGTGGGTTCAAAGCAGGCAGGGCAGGAACTCCACAAAACAGGAAGGAGCCAGAGCCAGTGCTCCAGGACATCCCAGCGCCAGTGTCACCACTGAGAGCAGAAGGCAGAGGATGGACACGTGTCAACTTCCCAACAACAGCATGATGGGGTTTATAACTCTGAAAGGTGCTTGAGCTGCCAGCTGAGCCTGTTGGCATTGCCAGGATGGGTCATGAGGATACAGAAGAGGTCCAAAGTGTAACTCAAATATTTGTTAATTGCTACCATATCTCTCTTTTTGTCCCTTTATAATTAGCGTATTCATCCTTAGACGTGCACACGAAACTGCACAACTCTCTAAGAATATCATCCTCTAATACCCTTCAAACCTGACCAAGTGGGATGAAACTTTTTTGCTCATTCAGGGTCCTCTGTCTGCAGCTGTTCCACATGGCAAATTCCCATCTCAGTAAATTGGTGCTCTGCTCCCAGAACAGATGCAAAATCACTCTCACAGTGAGAATGTACAATGCGGCGTGATTCTAAGAATGAAGTACCATTTTAAGTCTTCATAATTCTGTATTCAAACCATTCTTTTTGATCGCAATGGGAATTCCATAACCCTAGTAAAAAAATTGCTCTTTACTAGTTAGAGGACAATTACAGTCTATCAGAATTGCATTTTTCTAAATGTGTACATTCTGGCTGTTATTTCTGAGCACTGTTATAGGCTACAGACAGAAAAACACCTGCATCCCACTCATTACAGCACTGACCCTGACAAAGACACACGCAGTCTACTGAGGCACAGATATAGCATTTAAGGGTCAAATTTAAAGGTTTCTCTCCATTAATGACAAACCTATCAGTATAAAAGTGATTCTGTACAAGTTGCTGCTTGCAGTGTCGAAGATGCTTGAAGGTCCTTACAAAACTAAACAAAGTACTACAACTAATCACTCTTTAAATGTGAAAATGTATCTTCTTTTGCTATATGAAAACTGTTGCCTTTCACAGGTCTTTTGGTGTTGTACCCTTCCCAAGTACCCACCATAAAAAAAGATGCTTAATTCCCAGAGAATGTGCCAGTGCCTGGAACTTGTATAAGCAACAGAACCCTCAAATACATGGGAGCCAAGAGAGTCCCAGAGGTACTGGTGCTCCCCTACGGAGGGATAACACAGGGAAGGTGATGGAAAAGATTCATTCTGCTGGAAAGAACGGAAAGTCAACACTCTGGCTCATTGGGTGGAAAACTTCTAACCATTTTGCAGTGCATCATAGACTGCACTGTCAGAATCATAGGAAATAAATGAGAATCTGGCAAAGACAATAGGAAAGATCCTGAAAGTCAAGCAAACCAACAACAAAAAAAAAATACAACAACCAAATGCATCTTTTAAGAGATATCTCCTGCAAATTTTTTAAAATGTAATCCACAGTTTACAAAACCAGTCTGTTTAAAGAGATTAGCTAATAATTTATTAGCCAATTTAAAAATTCTCATATACGTCCATTTTTCTCTGCTATTTTATAGCATTTTTGTTCTGCTTGAATATTCTGAAAATGAAAAATACTTAAATAATTGAGTGATATAATTCCCTTAACAGCTCATGAAATTTTTAAGAAAGACAAAAAAACCTCAAGTGCTTTGAGAAAAAAAAAAAATACCAGTGTACTGTTATGATGGAAGTAGAAAAAGACATTAATATTCCACAATAAATGAATCATAATATTTAATTTAGGCATGCCGTACAAAAGCATAAAGAAGAGAAATGATCACTGAACCATAGACAACTGAATGTGAAAAGTCACCAGTATTGTATAAAAAAGTGAAAATCTCCGAAATATTCTTCTGATAATAAGCAGAATTTCATCAATCTTTAAATTCATTAATTTCCATTTTCAAGCCATGTGACTTTGCAACTTTTTTTTTTTCTACTTTTATTGGGACTTAGCAGCTCAAATTCCAAATCCTTCAGGAAATCTTCTGTCCTCTGACACTTTTTATTATTTATGTTAGAATTCTCCACACATTTAGATCTTCAGATCAGAACTTGGGCACATGAGTGTCTCAGATACACCTTTTGTATGCCATGCACAGTATCTTATGAGTAAATTACATCACAAGCAGTGCAAAATGAAAATCCATTCTTCTGTTTAAAAGATTGCTTAAATAATTTGGGGGTCTGGTGGGTATGTGTGTTAAAATCCTCATCTTTAGGAAGATATTGCAGAATTCCTTCTCCATATGACTCCTTTTTACTGGCCTCTATGACATACTACTACTACTAATAATAACAATAATAGATCTGGGTTTCTTTTCTGGTATTCTTTACAATACACTCAAGATGGCCTTGCATAATAGCAGAAGTTCAGGGGTATAAAAGTGTACAGCAGCTATAGAGCAGATTCAAATGGCTATCTTAGTCCATTTTACCTTTCAGTAATTAAACTTAAAAAACCTCTAATTCTTAAAACTACTAGCCCTTCCTCTCTCTCAATTAACAGTACATACAGCTATTTTCTAATACTCTAGCTGGAGTGCCCAAAATAAAGGAATGCTTCTGGTATGTAGGGATGTATAGGACTTTAATATGTAAAAAAGGCAACAAAATGAAACATTAATCCTTGCATGTTTGTATGATTAGAAAATATAATATTGAAGATTTTTCTTATCTATGGAAAGATCAAAATGTTGCTTCTTGTATTTACATATTTCTACATATGATTATCACAGACTATTAAAAAAAAGCCACCAGCTGTGAGGCATGCAGTCGAGTGAGAGAAAAACATTCCACTGCTCTCCAGCATTCTGAGTGTTTATGTTTTTTTTTTTTTAATGCTTCCTCCCTCAGCCAGAAGACTTGTCTGGCACTTGCTGGCAGGTGACTTACCGGCAGTGTTTGTGGGATCCCGTTAGGGTTTCGATCACAAAGCATTCCCCTTCGTTGAGACAATATGCAAGGTCCTTGTCTTTGCATGGCTTAAAGTGCTCAGATCGCTCCGTGGAATACGTTGTAGTGTCTGAGGAGACAGCAAGGAAAGGAGAGAAATGCTGTAAGGATAAATATTGGATGTTCCTACAGTACATGTCAAATAAATTTGATCATCCTGGTCTCAGTAACATCAAACCCAGAGGAAAAGAAATGAAAAGCACAGGGAATGTGAACCTCTGTTTGACTGCAGCATTATTTGCAATCAGGTTTCTTAGAAGAGTCACAAGAAACACCTGCAGAAAAGCAAACCAGACTGGAGCAAAGTTGGAGTATAGTCTCAACCACTTCCAATTCCCAAGGTTTCCCTGCTAAAATGTAACAACACTTACTTTGTGTCCTTTAACCAGAACAATATTTCCATATTTACTACAACAAAATATGGTTCAAAATAAGATACAATTTTTTTTTCATAAAAACCAAGCAAAAGTAGTTAATACAGTGTAAATTTAAAAAAGAATACAAAAATAAAACCCACTACAGTGAAAGAGAAAAGCCAAATACCCAAGGCCAGCACTAATTTGATTTACCAGTCACAAAAAACCAGCCTAAGAATCAAACACAAGCAATGTACCAGAGATTGTGTCATTTCACAATCACCTGTAGGTGTATATAAATCCACTCCATAAACACAGTTAAAGGCCTAACAGCCTACAGATTACAGGCAGAACTGCTGGCTGCACCTTTGGAATATTTAATTAGATAATTAGATTTGGAATAGACTGACAGTATGTCAGGGTGAACTATCATTCCTGTCTTTTAATAAATCTCTTTAACCTTTCCAATCCAGTTAGATTAATCAACAATAAAGTGAAATTTTCAGAGGAAGATGCCTGACTGACACATATTTTAATTTTCTTCACTACGACAAGGTTTTTGTCTAATGAAGTGTGATTTTCAAAATAGACTATGATTCCCACAGAGCCATAGTTTAATCTTCATATTCAATCTTAATTCAAAAAGTTTAAATTCCTAATCACTTTGCAGGACCAGATATATACTGAAATAGTAAGAGAACATTTCACTGTATGCCATACAGCCTATCACAAAATATTAAGTTGTCTGCTATCAAATAAATTAAGCAGTGCTTAATAGACATAGAACCTTGCAAACTCAAAGTTTTGCAAACACTTTAACCTGGCTTTGCTCATAACTCCATACAAGGTAAATATCCACCAAACTGACACCAAAGTTGAAAACCAAAATACCGAATCACAAGACAACTGTAACTAGAGTACTGCAAGAAAATTCAGATAATCCCAAACAATTGTCCAAGTAACTTTTTTTGTTCTCAGGATATTAAGAAAAAACCCACCTCTACAAGTTTTCCTTATATGCAGACTAAATGACAGAAGATGAATAAAACACATTTGAAAATAATAAGAAAATCCACACCCTATTCTTTGTATGCAACACTTTTTTTATTTTTCCTCTCCAGAGAGCAAATGTTGTAGTTTAGTGTTCTCAGTGGAGAGAAGAAAAAATCCTGGGAATAAACTCTAACAGTCTTACCTCAAATGTTTTTACAGATTCAGAACAAAAGGCCATGCCACTGTCCCCAGTAGCAGCACTTAGAAAAAAGATGCAGGCTAAATAGAAACTATGTTTTTAATGATTGCAAGCAAACCCTGAACTGAAATGTATCAAGTTGAATTTTGGAGACAATACAAGATGTTATATAGATGCAAACAGTGACTAGCATCTCACTGTTGACATGTCAAGAATGATCAGCTTTAATGTAAAAAAAAAAAATAATCCTCACATAGAAAAGAGGTATCCCAGGTACTTTTTAAGGTCAGTTTTACCCAGGACCACTAAAATGACCATTTAAAACTTAATTAGGCAAAAAAAATAACTATAAACCTGAGTAACCAGTTATAACTGGTAACATTATTTGGAAGCATTCGTGATAAGTACAAAATGTAAGTAAAACTGTTTAATGAGCAGAAACTCAGCTTGATCCAGCTTTAGGGAACAGAACACTTGTATTTGTCAGCCTGCTCTGCAGAAACAATCTGTGCAAACACCTTTATGAAGGCAGCTGCAATACCCAGAGCAAAGGAATGGGAAGTGTTCCCAAAGGACAAGGGCAAAAGGAGGGAGATCGGCACCATCACAGAGCTGGGGCAGTGACGCAGTGAATTCTCAGAGCACGGCTTTTGAAGTGCAGGAGACTCCTCTTCTACCATAATTAAATCAAGAACACCTTGTCAAGGTCAGCATTTTGAAGTTTTTAGATTGAATATATTCTTTAGAAGTTTTGTTCTGCTTTATTTTAATTATTCCTCTATTTAATATTAATCAACCCTTGTGTTTTATTTATAAATGTGCGTAAGTTGCAGTACTTCATTTTCTCCACTTGGACACAATCTCGAATCTCAAGCTTTTCTTTTGTGTTTGGTCCCTCACCTTTCAAATTAAGTACAACAGTTGTAGGCAATGATGCTAGCAGCTCCTTATGGCAGCCTTGGACTGCACCCTTCATGTTGAAAACTACTCAAGAGTTGGTAATTGGGGTTTTTTGTTTGTTGTTTTTTTTTTTTAATAAATAATCTCATTAAAAGTCACTTTTCAATTGGAGTCTTTTGTGGTTTGGAATATTTGAGCAAGTCTAAGCAGATTGAGGCACAGGAACAGTGTGTAGAGCTGAGCTGTGCACAGATCTCCCGGCTGCAGAGATCAGGTGCTGGAGCTCAAAGGTCATCCACCAAAATTCCAAAGCTGGGCCACTAACTGACATCCTCAGTATCCCTGGGGCTGCTGGGTACTTCCTGCTGGAGATAACTCACATATCCCACACATGAGTTTCATGAAAGTCACAATCCTGCTCTTATTTTATGTTGCATTCACAAACTCTGCTACAGCTTCATTAAATATTGATAAAAACAAAACCTAAAAACTGGTTCTAAACATAACTGCAGAAAGTACAAACCAACAGAAAACACTGTAGAGACTATAGTTTTCCTGATTCTTTATCTAATAAAAAATAAATCCTATTGTCTCTTGTTTTATTTTACGCCTAACCAAATACTGAATTGACTTTTCCATGGTGGAATTGTCCTTCATAGCTTCAGAAGCCTGGTAAATAAACAACATTGTATTGTGATGTTTGACCCTTTTACTATTTTTTAAAAGAATTAATAAAACCTAGGAATTCAAAAAATTTAATAATCCAGCTCCTTAATTTATTTTTAGTGTTTGAATGTGGTTACAGTCCCAAACATTTATGAGCAACAGAGGGGAATTTCTGCGAAGCATTCAGATGTCCCTGAATTCAGAGCGTATTCCTTAAGGTATTTTTTCATTTTTTTAACTGCCATGTGTCCAGGTGTTTCATGCAAAAGCAGCAGGGTATATTGATTTCTGCTGGAATCCTTCCAACTAAGTTGGAATAAAAAAAAATATTTATAGGCATTCTTATTCTTTTCTCTTGCCTTACTGTATCAGCAAAGGTTTATGCATGACTCCCATACTCCAAAAATGGATGTATCACTGCCAACTCCCAGTTACTGTTTAATCAAATTAATTCCATTCACATTTCAAAGAAAGGCTTCAGAACTCTTACTTATAAACATGGAGTTGGTTTCTAAAAAAATTCAGTCTTTGGGACTGTTGAAAAAAATCAGTAGGAAGAATACAGATACTATTTTATTTCGTTTAGGTTTAAAACAGTCTAAAAAACTGTTATGAAGTTGTGTTCTTGTCTCATTAATAGATGTTATCGTATTTATACCAGTGCAGGATGGCTCATTATAGCTGATTTTCTGTGTGATCTTCAAGGCATGATATGGTTAGAAATAGCAAAATAGAAATGCTATTTGCTCCCTCAAGGCTACCACATTCAGTGTTTCCAGTAGTATGCCCTGATACTGATAAACCTGTAACCTCCAGGGAAAAATACAGGAAAAGAAAGCATGCAAGATTTAAAATATCCTGGGAAGCAGCAGCATTCAGAGCAGCTGCTTCTGCACAGATTGCAGCAGCAGCCATTCCCATCCATCACATCTGTCCTGCAGCATTCCAGCTTCAGAAATGGATTTTGCTGCTTACATCTGGAACAAAGCAAGTTTCCTCTGCTAGCTTTAAATGAAACCCACACTCCATGGCCCTCGCACTGTAAACATTTTTTTTCCAGGCAGACAACATTAGCTGCTGTAAGGAGAAAAATGACCCAGGAGAACAAGAGATGGGAAGGCCTTGTATGACTTTTGTGACCAGCAGACAGGCACCCAAACTCTGCAGCTACAGAGTCATTAACACAGGTAAGACAAATGCTTGGTGCATTTCCACCAAGGAATATTAAGACATGATTTATTTTAACACCAGAGCTCACACACTGAAAGACTTTTCAAAATGCTGCATATTATATTTATACCCATATACCACTGGGTATTACCAGCTTTACAGATTCAGTACCAACATGCAAACTGGCTTTTCCTTTATCTTTTTATCCATTTATAACTGATCATTCCCCATAGAACCAGCACTTACCGAGGCACTAAAAAAATCAAGATGCTTATTTTAAATCCTTCTTCCCATTTCTAAATGCATTGCAAAAAATTAGCCAGATACAAGTTACTGAATTTCCTCTGAAAATACAACTCTAGTTGTCAAAAAAATACCTTCTCAAGAAATCCCTACAACAAAATAATATATTTTTGATAACATATTCTTGTATCACTACTGCATTCCACAAAGAAGGCAGTCTAAAAAGTCAGTTAATAGCATATAGGGAGTTAAATTTTGTGTTCAGTGAAGTCAGTGCTAAAATATTTACAATGATTCAGTATAAGCAGAGTTCCCTGAAGTTCCTATAGGGTCATCTAGTGCTTCTCTCCTGATATCTCAGAATTATGTGTGGTAGCCCTAACTAGAAAGAGTCTTGAACAAAAAAAAATATGAATCTTACACACAGAATAGCTTATAAGTGATTTTGTTTACTCACCTACTGAACCTTAAAAACATAGAACCTAAAATTTTTATTGCTGTGCTTTCAGATGTGTCATGGTTTAGGAAGGGTATTTCCCTGTT